AAAAACCAAACACTTTGCACCATAATGTGGTTTCCTGAGCAGACCAGCACAGGTATCAGGCCAGATGCAGCTTTGACATAAATTAAAACTATATTGATCTTTATTAAACTGTCTCTTGTGAGTTTGCTTCTTTGTGGATCAGATCTCTCCAGGGCCTGGATACCTCTGCGTGAACTGACAGCATTGGGTTTCTAAAGTGGAGGCCCAGCCCCTGGAGTAACTGGGGTGCAGGTCACTGACACAGCCAGCCACCTGCCTCTGCTGTAGAAAGTGGGGTCATCAGACGATGAGGGCCACTAGAGTAACACCCAGGGTTATTCAAAGTCGGGTCAAGACACTCAAGTGCTATCATCCCTACCCCTACGTCCTCAACCAAGAGAGAGGGGCAGCTCACCCTACAATCTAGGCATGTAATTTAGATTAGGGAGTGGACCCACACCAAATTATAAAAATATTAGGAGTGGAAGCATTAGTAGAAGGAGACAAGAAGTATAATCAAGTCCCTCTTCCTCCATGAAGCCTTCCCTATTTCCAACAACACTGAGCTCCCTTTTCTGTGAACACCCATCATACTTCATTCAACAAAAGTCATTCGGGGAGCGCCTGTGTGTGCTCAGAGCTGTGGTGTCTGGGTAGGATTAAGACGTGGTCCCTGCCTTCCCAAAGCCTCCCATCCTGTGGACTCACCCTTGATGGTCTTGTCCACCACTCCCTTCCCACTGCAGCTGCAGGCAGGTCCTCCCTGGCTCTTGTTTGGTCTCACTCAAAAACCTTCTCACGTACCACCCCACACACAACAAAAAGCAAGATATAATTCTTATTAGAATTATATCTAATTATCTTATTATTCCCAAATCACAGCTAGAATCAGGTCACTCTTTTGCTCAAAATTTTCAGTTCCCCATTACCAACTGAGTAACATCCAAGCTCCTTTAGCCTGACCCAACCATAACGCCCACTACTCTCCTTCTCACCGCGCTCTCCAGCCAAATTTGATGAACTGCTGTTTGTATACACCCCGTAGCATCGCCTACGTTGGTCATGCCACCTCCATTTAGAATGTCCTTCTCATCCTTATGATAGGGCCAGTTCAAAGACAGATGTCATAAAGCCTTCCCCAGTGTCCCACATCTAAAATAATTGTTCTCTGAATTCTTACAGCATTTTAGCCTCACTCGTCTGAAGACATATACTATTCTACCTTGCATTACATTCCCTCAGCAGCCTGTAAGTCCAAGATCTCTGATTATCCTTTTATCATTCTATAGAATTTTGCCTATGGAGGCCGCTCAGATTATTTGTGGGTGAACAAACTCTCAGGCAGAATGGAATATGTGCTAGTCTAGGAAAGGGCTGTGCAAAGGTGCAATAGGGGAAGAAAACTGATTTTGATAGAACATAAAATCAACTAGGACAAAGATCTTTGTTTTGTTCACTGTTGTGTCCCAAGTTTTCAAAACAGTGCCCAATAATAGATGCCTAATACACGTGCATCTAAGCCAATGTTCCTATGAATATTTGTCCAATGAAAAATGAGTAAGTTAAGCTTTCACAGAAGGGACTTATAAACCAAAACAGTGTTTGGTTCAGAGAAGGGCATTGCTGAGAGAAAGCGCAGCTTATTCAATAAATGACAGGAAGCCCAATGTGGCAGCAGCATAGTTTGGAGAGTGAAAGGAGAAAAAATGTGGATGCATTAGCTTGTCAAAGTCTTGAGTTTTACACTAAAACGTTTGCTCTTTATTGGTAGCTGCTGAAAGCCATTGCAAAGTTATGATGAACACCCGTGTCCAGTAATGTTCAAAGACAATAACTCCAGTAGGAAAAAAGGATGTAATTAGGTGGAAGAAACCACTTAGGTTACTGACGAGTTCAGGTGAGTGACAACTAGGACCTTAAGTGTGGGAATAGGAAGGAGATAAGACAGGACAGGTAAGTCTCTAATGTCTGGCATTCAATTCTTCCCTATGTGTTGACTTCCCTCTCTATCATACCTGTCCTTCAGACGGTCCATTTCCTGTTTTCTTCTCAGCACCTAGCATAGCAGGCTCTCAATGAAGGATAGTTGAAGCAGGCAAGAAGCTATTTTTTGGAAGATCTAAGACAGTGCTTCTATGTGCAGAGAATCACCTGAAGATCTTATCAAAATGCAGATTCTGTGGGTCTGGGACGGGGCCTCAGAATCTGCACTTCTACCAAGCTCCTGGGGGCGCCAATGCTACTGGTGCAGAGACCACACCCTGGGCCTTAGAAACCAACTGTGACATCGAGGCACTTAACAGAGGAAGCCATAGCACCCCATGGCCAAGCATGTGGGCTCTGACGCAAGATGGGTTCACACCACCTCTGCTTGTTACTTCACTTCTCAGGTCTCCACCCACATCTCGTATGTAAAATGAGGCAAAATCATGTTCACCACACAGGATCGTATGAGGATTTATTTTATGTAAAGAAATTAAAACAGTGCCTAGCACACAAGTGCTCAACAAACGTTAGCAGTAGTCCAAATGCTTGACACAGTTACTTCCCCGCCTGAAGGAAAACTTAACTTTGCTAGAGAACAAGGACCGTATCTTGTTCTTGGCTTTTTTCTCTACAATGTAAGGCACAAGGCTGGTCATACTGTAACACTCAACAATTGGGAGGTAAGAATAATCAAGGATAGGACAGAGTGGGTATCTACAGTATAATGCAAAGCTTAGAGGTAAGAAAAGACTGTGAAAGAAACTGAGGAAAGAAGCCCCGGAGGTTTTCCTACGCACAACACGCACCTCTCACAGCACCCGCCCCACGACCACTTCCCTCTGTGTTCACTGTAACAAGACAACCCCGTAACTTACAGCAACCCAAGTTCCCTTTATCTATTCATCTGTTCCTTTCATCTCCATACCCCACTCGTTCTCCCCACAGGCAATTGTAATGTCTTTAATGTTTATCTTTTGGTTTCTAAGTGTTCTTTGAAAATGTTTTGTGTGCGTGCATTTTTAATTTACATAAATGGTATTATGTTATAGATCTCAACTTCTTACCTTCTCTACTCAGCACTGTATGTTTAAGGTGGATCCAGGTGGCCACACGTGTGTCTAAGCCAACGTTCCTAACAGCTGCCAACCACTCCCCTGGGTACCCACCATATTTCATCTACCCTTTCCACCTCCCAACAGCCGACACTCAAGACCGTCTCCAGCTCTCCACCACCACGAGCAGGACCCGTGAGTATTTTCATCATTGCTCTCTTCTTGTCTTCCGTCCTAGGTTTAAGTAAAAGCGCAGGTCAGGCTGTGCCGTCAGGTCTGTCACTGTTCCAGGCGCACCGCTTCCACCCTGGGCCCCACAGAGTGTTTTTGACAAATGGAGAAAAAACGCATCTAATATGAGCCTTTTTAGCGGGTAGCAAGTTTTATTCTAGGCAACTGCAAATCATCCAAGGGGACATTCACATATGACCCAGGAGCCGGCTCCCATCTCCCCAAACAACAGTGGGGCAGGTATTGAACACTGCTGGGAGACAAGCACCTGTATGCTTTTTCTCTGCCATCCCTGGAACAGACAATCCCAGAACGAATTTGGAAAGTGTGATCTGAACAACCTCAAGTAAGGACTGGTGTAATAGGAACAAACTCAAATAACCACTGGTACAAGCTGAACGACCTTAAGTAACGAAGTACAGGGTGTCCCAAAAGTCTCCACACGAAGGAAAAATTCTGTCATGAATATTTTGTAAATAAAGGTACATTTAGCTACACTTTCCCATTTTCCCTATGAATGGAGACTTTTGGGACACCCTGTAGTTATTTTTACTCTAGGAGGCTGCACCACTGCAGCAAGGAGGGGTGGGAAGAGGAAGAGAGGGGTGTGGCGAGACACCTGAGCTCCCAGAGCCAGACTCAGCTCCTTTCCCAGAATCTTTATTCTCAGCAGGGATGAGGTCCGCCCTACCACTCTCTTCCTCTTGGTCCTTTTGATACAATTAGCCCATTTAAGATTACCAAGCACTCCTACAAGAGGGAGCCCTGTATGTCCCTTGCTCTCTGGCCTAAGTGGGAGTGGGCTAAAAGAGCCCTATATACTATTCCCTCCTAGAGGGTAGGCCAAGTCCCCATGTTAGGAACAACTTCTACAGCTCTTGAAATTTAAAAAACAAGTGTTGGGATGTATTCTTTAAAAATCAACTAAAATCTAATTCTAAAAAAAGGTTCATCAGAGCAGGATAAGCAGTTCGTTGAAATTATTTCTTCTACTTGTTATTAACAGAGACTACAAAAGAAGAAGAAATAGAAGGTTATGCTTCCCAGAACTCTTCTATATACCTGCTTACCCACTGTGGCCTGACTCAACCCTTCAGGAAGATGTGAAATGCTGAGGCGAGTCCTGGAACCAGCCACCAGACCCTGCAGGGTTAGATCTCCAACCCCAGCCCAAGATTATCAGCACAGATGGGAAAATTAGAGACCTGAAGGTGCCAAGAGACAGCAAATCAGCAGCAGGGTAAAGACCTGGTCCCAGACTCTTCCTCTTCCACATGATTTTCAGGACAGCCTTTGGCCTTGGCTAGGTACCTGGTCAAGGAAGGCAAATCAGAAGCAACTTCCCTCAGGAAGAACTCAGTTCCTGACTCTGCACAGTGTCTCTTCGGGGGGACCAATGCCACCCCCCTCCGCCCCCCGGACGGGCGAGGGGCTGGCACTCTTAAAGCAGGCCATTGGGCCTTCCAGGCTCCAGGGCTAGCCCACCCCGCTCCCGCTGGTGGATCTTCTGGTGCTGCAGGAGGTGCTGCTTCTGGACAAAGCTCTTCTCACACTCGGTGCAGCTGTAGGGCCGCTCACCCGTGTGGATGCGCTGGTGCCGCACCAGGTCAGACGGGTGGCTGAAGCTCTTGCCACAGTAACCACAGATGAGGGAACTCCGGCTCTTCCTCCAAGGGATGTGGCCCGGCAAAGCAACCAGGCTGTTGGGCGAGAACCTCTCCTGGATGCGTTGGCCAGCACTGGACCCCTCCTGCAGGTGGCAGCGCTGGTGGGTCACCAGGCTCACCTTGCAGCTAAAGCTCCTCAGGCACACGTCACACTGATGCAGCTTGGCCCTCTTGGCCTGGGGCTTAAGCTGTGGCCTGGGCCTAAGGCTCTCCTCTGGCTCTTCGGGTGTAAAGGACTCCCACCCTGAGTGGCTCCGCAGATGTGTGGCCAGCTGTTGCTTATAGCAGAAGTTGATCTCACATTCAGAACATTCATAGGGGCCGGAAGTATCCCTTTTCAGCTTCAGGCCCTGCCCATGTTCCTGACTCAGCTGTATCTGCCTATGAGATTTCTGCTTCGGGCAGCCCAGAGTTCTGCCACTGCTAAGGTCTCTACTGCCCTCAACGGGCTCCTCTAGATTAGAGCCCCCAGGACCTGTTTCCAAGAGGACAGAACTGCCCTGACCATCCCAGAGCTCAGTGTGCTCCGGGGTCAGGAAAGCCTGCTCTTCAGTCATGACAGAGAACTCTCCAGGAAGATGTGAAGAGCCTTCTGGCTTGTACTGTAGCTCCTGTTTGATCACGACCCCATCTGCTGCAAAGAGGAAGAAAACCAACAAAAAAGATCACACTCTAGCACCTTCAGTTTCTTCTGAGCCAAACAAACATCTGTGAATTTCAGAAGCACCCCAGAAACAAGTGAATTAGGACAATCTGTAGGAGAATGAGACTGACTAGGTTCCAAGATTTGTGAAAAACTAACCCTATATTTATGCATAAGCATGTTGACTGAAATCTGAGTATTACTCTTATAGAACAATGTTATAAATGATAGTTCTCCAAGCTTGTGTACAGATTTATATTCAATCCCTGTGAGGCCGGGTGCGGTGGCTCACGCCTGTAATCCTAGCTCTCTGGGAGGCCGAGGCGGGCGGATTGTTTGAGCTCAGGAGTTCGAGACCAGCCTGAGCGAGACCCCGTCTCTACTAAAATTAGAAAGAAATTAATTGGACAACTAAAAATATATAGAAAAAATTAGCCGGGCATGGTGGCGCATGCCTGTAGTCCCAGCTACTCGGGAGGCTGAGGCAGGAGGATCGCTTGAGCCCAGGAGTTTGAGGTTGCTGTGAGCTAGGCTGACGCCGCGGCACTCACTCTAGCCGGGGCAACACAGTGAGACTCTGTCTCAAAAAAAAAAAAAAAAAAACCAATCCCTGTGAAAATGACAAACCATATTGTAACAATTATACTAATCAAGAGTGTTTAAATAGCAAATTTGAATTATTAGAGAAATAAACTAAACCTACAGCTAAAAATTCATGTTCCCAGCTCTGTTCTTCCTGCATAGTCTCCCCAAATGACCTGCTAACAAATGCTTTTCCTGCATTCCCTTCCCTCTTGAAGTTCTGACCTGTCCGCTCTCAACCTCCAGCAGGTTTTGACTACAGCCTATCACATACTCTATTCTGCAGGACATGAGGAAGGGTGATATGGTCAATAGTCTTAAGGGCCCCACAGAGCGGGAGTTAAGAGACACATATAACAGGTGAACTTAATGAGCCATAAAGGAGTCCAGAACAAGAAAATGCCACATGAGGTTACCGACAGTCAGTGTTTGGCAGTTCAATAGTAGGAAAGCTCGCTGCAGGCTGCAGAGAGCTGCAGGAGGGAGACTGAATATTCTGGAGCCACTCACCTGGGTGGGCACCAACAGGGCCTTCCTCCTCTAGGTCACCCAGTATCTCTGTACTCAACTCTGCTTCTCCGTCTGGCTGGCCAAGGACCTCTGGGTTGGAAACAGCATAGTGTAAGCCCAGGAGAGAGTAAAGCTCACTCCACGCTGGGCAGCTGCCAATGAACAAAGTGACCAATAGCCGGGAGTAGAAACTAAAACTTCAAAAGATTCAAAGGCTACTGTTCTTGACGCCTTCCCCTAGCACTGTAGGACAACGAGAAAATTCTGGCCAATCCTAATGACCAATTTGGCTAGCTGCTGCTCCAGTGCCCTCCCCTGGAGCCGCTGTGGCTGAGGCAGTCGGGCTGCGGAGCCACTGCTGCTCTCCCCAGCACCACCACTGCTTCCTCACGGGACACAGCTTAAGTCTTGCCAATACTTCCTTTCAGGGGATCCAGTGTCACCCTTGCTAAGGCACCACAAGGTAAGGTAGGCAGTGTGACAGACAAGGAAACAACTATGAGGAGAGCCCCTGACCCAGCCGAGCTCACATGGTCACCTTGCTGGCCATCTCCTACTTCCTTCCCCAGTTACTCTGCTCCAGGCACGATGGCCTTCTTGACACTCCTCCATGGACCTACGTTTTAAAAGACTTTGTCTACCAAACAAAATGCATTTATTGCATAATAGGTAACATTTTACATACAAAGATTTCTGCCTATTAAGCAGCACTTCTAATCAACATGAAATACACATTAAGACCACAATGACTGGCTGTGATTCCAGCCAAATACCAGAAAAAGCTCTGGTTAGCCTGTGCTATCTGCCTCATCCCAGGTACTGCAGGGTTTCTTGTCAGTGAGGAACTCTAGTCATATCACACTAGAATGTATATAATGACATCTTATCTCTTAGCAAACATTATCAAGAACGATGTGACTATAGAGAAGAAACATAAGAGGCACAACACTGAGACCTTTCCAAAAGTCCCTATAAATGGGAGGACGTGGAGACTCCTATTTCTCAACCCAGCACAGGCCAACAGAGGATCCAAAACCAACTAGAGTCACAGGTGTAGTCTGAGTCACAAGCTACTGGCCAGAAATTGTAGGATTTCTGGGAGATAATTCTAGGGATAAAACCACTACTCACTCAGAGAGACCAGCGTCTCATAGTTGCTCTCCATCACGTTTCTATAGAGCTCCTTCTGCCAGTCCTCCAGATTCTCCCACTCCTGCTTGGAGAAACAGACGCCGTCATTCTCCAGTGACCTGGACACCTGAAATCACAAATGGCACAGAATGAGCACCTCTACTCATAGCCATGAAGGAAAAGCCAGGCATTCAGAATCTTAGATATCAAAGGGCTGGGCTCTCCTTCTTGCCTAACTTCTCCGTGGGACTACCTTGGGGGCCTCCCCGTTGCTGCCCGGGGGCAGCCGCAGGACCCAGAAGTTCCTGTTGCGCAGCAGGTTCTCCACGTTCTCCAGCCGCCGCTGCAGCAGCCCGTACTCCTGCAGCAGGGTCCCCAGCACGGCCCACTTGCCCTCCAGCTGGTTCCCGAACTCCACGGCCGTCTTCTCACAGTCGGCCAGCTTCTTCTCAGCTGTCCCCGTGCGCCCCTCCAGACTCTGGAGTCGGGCGGCCTGAGACTCCATCTTCTTCTCCACAGCCTGAATGGCAGCCACCACCGTCCAGAGTGAGATCTCAGTGGTCTGAAAATATGAGCTTTTCTCTGTGGCTTGTGAAGGAAGCGTGGAAGAAGTTAAAGATGTGGGGCGTCGTTTTCTCCTGTGCTGAAGGATCAAAGATACAGGGAAAGTCAGACAATATCATTTCCAAACATCAAGAAGTGATGCTTGGACATATCCGTCTAAAACAAACAGGGACAGAATATTTAACAAGATATGAAGTGGAAAGAAAAAAAACCCAAAAATAAAACTTCAAACTATAAATCATTTACGAAATTGAAATGCAAGCAATCAATAAACAAATGAAAAGACAACCACCTTGCAATCAGGAATATAACCAAGTGAAACCACTTTTCACCCATCAGACTGACAAACATGAAAAAGAGAGACACAGCATAACATTCAGAGCGATCATGACGTGGTAAACTGACACTTTCATGACACTCCTGGAAGGAATGAAAAATACTACAAACTCTTAGGGAAGGAAATCTCAAAAAGTTATTAAAAACCCTTTCACTTAGCAATCCCACTTGGGGAATCTATCTTACAAAAATAAATGGCATTAGTATTTAACAACATACATACAAAGATGACTACTGGTAATACTCTTTGGAATGGTCAAAACCTGGAGATAATTTAGATGTCTATTAATAAGGGAAGGATTAAACTATGGCACAACCAAAAATGGTTTTATATAACTACTAGAAAGAATGAGGGCTGAGCATGTTGGCTCATGGTTGTAATCCCAGCATTTTGAAAGGCCGAGATGGGGGTACTGCTTGAGGCTAGGAGTTCAAGACCAGACTGGGGAACACAGCAAGACCTGATTTCTACAAAAAATGTTAAAAATTAGCTGAGTGTGGTGGCACATGCCTGTAATCCCAGCTACCCTGGAGGATGAGGCAGGAGGATCACTTGGGCCCAAGAATTTGAGGTTACAATGAGCTATTATCAGGGTACTGCACTCCAACCTGGGTGACAGAATAAAACCTTGTCTCTTAAAAAACCAAAAAGAAAAAGAAAAGAGACTGAGTTAGATCTACATGTATAGTTTAGAAAAGTATTCATCATACATTGATAGGCTAAAAATCTAACTTTTAGGGAAATACATTTATTATGGTCCAATTTTCCTAAAGAAGAGAAAATATATGGGTATATGTTTATTTCAGCATAAAGAAAGGTTTGGAAAGATATTCACCAAACAAATGTAAACATGGGTTACCCTCAGGGAAATGTGAAGGAGGGTTTACTCTTTCATTAAAAACCATCGCATGTTCGACTTTTCAATAAACATGCATTCTTTCATGATTTTTTTTCTTAAATCCAATATTTAAGAATATTCCTGAAGGTGATAAGAACACAAAAAGTATACTTACGCTGACCATATTTCTGGATTTTCTGGCATAGGCCTCCCTTTGACTATCATATTGTCAGATCATGTATTAAACAATGGGTGTAGCTTTATGGTCTGAAAATCCCATCACCATCAAGTAC